TTTCTAAAAATTACTTTTTGCATCTTAAGCTCCATGTAGTACATTTCAGAAAATTTAGCCATGCCGAGTGAGATGAACACATGTGTAGCTAACCCTGACCTTCACCTTTTGGAGGATGGTTGCCTTAATTTCATTTACTTGTCAGATGAGTTTACCTGAATAGCTTAGCAGGAAGAGGACAGATCAAGGTTACAGAAAGATCCCACACCCTCATTTTTTTCCCCATTACTTCAAGATTTAGGTAATAATTATACCATAGCCCACATTTCCTCTAAAAGCTTTAGCTTCTGTCATGACCCCAAATTTGAATCATGTATTGACAGACAGAAATAGAAGAAGCTACCCAAATCAGGAATAGTAACTCAGGATATTGGACTTACAAAACTTAATCCTACCCATACAACTAGTCTTTGACTTACAACCACAATTGGGACCACAATTTATATTGCTATCCAAGGCAGTTGTTAAGTGAGTGGTGCATTTCTGAATTGGATATAGCATCTCTGAAAGACAGCATCCCTTTGTAATCTGAGATAATATGAGAACTGCAGGGTTCAAGTTTGCTGTAACTTTGCCCAATATTAAAGATAAAAAAAATCTATATTTGTAAAAGCAAATTGAGCTTCTTTTCACTTGCCTTCTCTTCCGGTGTAATGCGAACATGTATAGCATAGTTATTTATCTAGCACAGCCTAAAAATATAATTATTTTTGTTGTGCTATGATCTTTTATCTATAATATCCAAATCTAAACTCTTTTTAGATCAAGAAATTGCACTCAGAATAACAGTACTAAGAAGAAAGAGAAATAGTATCCAACAAATATTTTGAAGAACACAAAATGTTTCCACCCATTACACCTTGTTTGAAAATATTATTTCATCACAAATCTAAACTATAAGCTTTCTTTTTTTTTAAAAAAAAAAATTACTTTTCAAAATTTGTTGATAATTTCAACTAGCTTGTCCTTTTTAAAGTTATCCCTGGAAAATCAGTGGCATGATCAAATTTAATACATATAAATAATATATAACATAATCCCAATGTGGCTAATTAGATATCTGTTCTTCTCAATTTGTTCATGTTCATTTATGTGTCAATGAAATGGGTATTTGGGTGTTGTGGACTTTATTAAGTGGTAAGAGTCAGTGGTATAGACATAGAAAGACTACATCTTTTGTTACTGATGTAGTGTAAGAGAAAATATAAACAGCACTAGGAATTAATATAAAAATCTTGGCACCTATCAAGATCCAATGTTGTATGACTGTTCCTCGTACCACCATTGTTCCAATTTCCAGTAAAATCATGATTCTCCAGGAAAATAATACAGACATATGTTTATACAGTATATGTCGTTCTGTCACCACCCAGAGTCGCTCTGTATAAATTTGATATATAAATAAAATAAAGTAAAATAATAAATATGCTGGTGAATATAATTGTGCGTATATGTATGTGTGTGTGAGAGAGAATATATAGCTGTTTAGTAAATATGAATGTTCTGAAGATCGTTTGGAAGCATACAGAGGAAAGAACATAAATTCTCATTTATCCCACTTGGAATGCCTTATATTTGGTTTATCAACTAAGTACAGGGATGTGTATAGAGATATTCCTTATGTGGAATTCACATATTTTTCATTTTGTTCTCATAACAATCAAGACAGATGAGTTAAGTTATGAGAAAGTAGCTATTCAAAGACAATATATTGATCTTCTCTCAACAGGTTTTCCCCTGCAAAACTCTAATCACTAAACTGTAGGTAGCCATTTATATAGGAAAGTTATCCACAAGATCACATGCTTTTTTAAAAAAAAAAAATTATTAATTTTTTCAAATAAACATATGAACAAATAATACAAATATGGTGCATTTCATTAGAAAAACAAACACATAAAAAGCCTACTCATTAGGTATTCAGAAATAATCGGCATTCCCCCCCCTACGGCATCCACACTCCCTCCACCTTCCTACCTACTTCCCTCTTCCTTCCTCCCCCTCTTGACCACTACCTCTCCTCTTTCCTCCTTCCCAACTATCCTACACATCCCATCACCTTCTTTTCCACCACCTCGGATGCAGTTTAGGGGTACATGCTTGATGTGGGATTGGTAATACTATGTTTGAGTTCATGCCCTGTTTACAAAACTGTACTGTTTGGAGAAAGATATATGTTTATATTTTTCCCCCAAGAAAGACTGATGTTTGAGAAAAATGTGAAAAGAGCTTCTTCTGTTCTGGATCCTCATCAAAATTAACATCCACTATTACAAGCAGGTTAGATTTGTTTGCTTGCTTGCTTGTTTAATAGAGGACCATGCAGGACACTGAAAGCAAATATCTCCACCATTGTTTCACTAAATTACAGGATGGTGAAATTTGGTTGAAGGTTGCTTTCTCCATTATTGGCTCTACTTTGACATAACCCTTGCTACTAAATGGTGATGGTGTTATTAGTATTCATTGCCATCAATTAATGAAAGAGAGCTTACTGTAGCTAACCAAAGCTCTGCTCTGTCCCTCATCTCTGAACTGCATTTACCACAAGGGAATGTTTACTAGCCACAGATTGTGAACAATGCCTCCCATTCCTCCACCATTTGGTATTGTTTCTTCCAGTCCTGATGGCATCATTGTGCAGAGCTAACTACATTGGAACTCTGCCATATTGGAGGAATTCACAGCTGGCAAGAGCTGGCCGCCATCCAGACAGTGGCACGTAGGGGTCGAAATGCAAGAGCATCTGGCTGTTATGCTCCATCTGTAAACCTGTGACTAATCTTTCCATGTAAACAAAGACATGTTCCAAATAGTGTGCACAATTTGCCCAATCCCATTAGTTATATCGAATACCAGAGATATTCCTCTTGAAAACATAAGAGTATAAGGAACGCACATTTTTTTTAAACCTAGTTTCTGCCATGGTCTTTATTGATATGTAAATAATATTTTATAAGCAAACTGGATGAAAAAAGCATCTGCCATAGAATGATGATGGACATGTAAAGAGAGGGGTGGCTTATGCATGACATTTGCTTCCCACCCCTCAGATTTCATGAGTATTGTATACTGATTTAAACTGATTAAAGGAAAGTAGAGTAGTGTAGTATAGTATAGAGTAGAGTAGAGTAGAGTAGAGTAGAGTAGGGGAGGGGAGGGGAGGAGAGGAGAGGGGAGGAGAGGAGAGGGGAAGAGAGACAGCAGGGAAAAGAAAGGATAGAAAGGAAAGGAAAGGAAATCTATAGAGGGAAAAATAATGCATTTTTGCCAGCTTCAGAAATATCAAATTTAATGGTAGAGCTGCTGTGAAATTACATTGAACAATCCTTTGTACAGCTCAGATTCCTTATGCTGCTTATTTAAGCACATGGATAGTCATGCAAAGAGATTGTATTACATAAGAAATGTGTACATACAAGAAGTTTTCAGAAAAAAGTGCAACAGCAAATCTGAGATAAATTGATATTTTTTGAAATTAATGAACTGGGAAATTGAAGTTTACATGACTACATAAAAATGTATTAATATTTCTTGTACAGAAATTAATGAGAAACAGTATCATGATAACATTTAAGTACCATTAGTTAAAACCATCCCTATTATAACTCTGCTAGGAAGTTAACACAATGACAATTTTTAAAATCTGTTTGCTTAACAAGTTTCTTCTTTGCTTATAATATATAACTATATAAATATCCTGAATGGAAGGGGAAGGGGCTGCATCTGGATTGCACTTAAAATTTAGAGACATTCAGTACAGGTATGGCAAGTCCTAGCTTTGCTGGTATTTAAACCTGCAGTCCCATTCTTAGGATAAGACACAAGAGACTATCCACAAACTTGTCTCCCTCCTCCCCTAAGTGTTTCAGTGTAGTCCTACAGTGCTTCAGTAATTGCATTAATGGCTACTATTTCTTTAAAGTAGGGAGTATCAGTTCCCGGGGCCAGAGATCATGCAATTCTGTGGGTACCTTGACCCTGAGCTTTTTATGTGTGAGACACAGAAGCTCTGGGACTTCCTTCTACACATTTCAAAAATTAACATGAGCTAACAAATAGGAGATTTCAACTTATGCCTTGTTATAGTGCTTTGATGGATTCCAAAGCAGATGTAACATAGTAGACTTTGATCTCAGAAAGTCACTGACTTATTAAAGTCAGCATACAATTAGAAGAAAGTGCTAATTAACAGAATGTCAAAACTGAAGCTGTCCATTTAGATCTGGATCTGCTCTGAATCTGAATTACCAAAAATGACCATGTTGTTTTTTAGCTGTCAACACAGTCTTCCTCCAGGGAATCTGGGCCACTGTTTGCCATTAACAAAGCGCTAAGAGAAATATCACACATGTGGGAGGTAGGATCCTTTGCATGTGCGCGTGTGCACACACAGATACACACACACACACATCAAAGTCAAATCTTACAAAAAAAGCTCTGTTAATAAATTCCAATTTTAGAAATAAAATATAGAAGAAGGATCAAGGAAAGCTTGTTGGATAGCTTATTATACAAAAAAAGGATGTCCCACTTTCTCCCCCAAACTGTTTGATAGCTACTGTCTTGCTAGATAAAAGGATCTATCAATTGTTTATCCAGATCACTTTTCCATGCAGTACCTGGGTCACGAAGACTTACACATTACTAAATTCCTGCACCTATCACTACTGTGAATTCCATTTCCTTTATATATTCAATTTATGGAATTCATCAACACCTAATTGAGTGCAACCTCTTCTTTTTTTTCATAAACCTTATCTGCCTACAAAACTGCATGAACAGTATTTTTTTTTAAGCTATAGTCAAAGGCATCTGGTTCCTAATCCAAGTGTTTTAGGAAACGGATTTGGTGAATGCTTCCTAATGATTTTCAGACATTGATGCTATGAAGAATTAGATGTGGTCAGCTTTGTTTTGCTTGCTTGTTTATTTTTTCTTTGCAAGTTTAAATACATAATGCAAGTAAATTAATAGTACTTTTTCTCTCTTTTTTTCAGCTATGTCTGGGCTTGTAGTTCCGCCAATGTAAATTCATTTTTTGTTTAGCTACTGTAGCACCAAGTTCAGAAGATGAGCTTTCTAGGGGACAAGTTTAGTATATAAGATATGCTGATGGAACCAGTATCTTCAAAATACAATCAGCAAAACATTGAAATGCTACAAAAAAACAAACTTTGTTTAAAAAAGTTTATTTAAAATACTAAGAATCAACATGCAAACAATCAACTTCATGAACAATTCCATTTTATTGACTGAAACTTCTCTCATATTTTCACATTTCTTGGTCATGAAGAAAAAGGAAAAAGCGACACTTATTTTGTATAAAGTTTCTGATTACGTCTTGGCTATGTCTAGTACTTGCTATGTGTCGGGAAAAACTTTGTGGATGCACCATTTTGATTATCATGAAACACGGATGAAAAACGCCTCCAAAACATTTTTCTGTACTCATAACTAGATTCACAATGGTTGTGTATCTCTATAATGTGAAATATTTTTTGTGGTGAAAAAAGGGGGCCAAGGAGGAGGTATGAGCCATCAAAACCGGGGTTGGGAGGGGAAAAGGATGAATATATGATTTCAGATAATTTTGGGAGACGGGAGGATGGGAGGGTTGATCATTGCTTAACTTCATCTTAATGAAATGGAACTTTGTAACTTATTGTAGTTAGAAATTGTAACTTTGATATTGAATTCTCTTGCCTTCAACAAGCACACTGACAGAGGGAAATGCTACTGTCTGTTGGTTTTAAAAAAATATACTTCCACTGCTAGAGCTTCCTGTTAAGCAAGTGTGATCTGCAACATTTTTTCAACTTTTGCTAGCACTGTATACTATTGCATTCTTAGGCTACTGTGAAGTCTATGTTTCTTGTACCAGAAAATTGTCCTTTTGACTTCTAGATCCTACTTCCCTAATGTGTTTTGTATGTGGTTATAAAATTGTAGACTTTTGTGATTTTGCCAAAGTTGTAGCTAAATATTTATACACTTGTCTTGAATTTTTTTCAGATCCACTTAAATATTTAGAAGATCAAATTTTTATTCCTTTTAAAGATAAGGAATAAAATAGCCCTACATTACAACTTCCTTTCACATGAACACTTGCAATCACCAAGGGAATTTATTTTGTAACATATTAATTATAAATATTGTATTTATCTTTGAAATTTTGTATATTTTCACCATTTTTCCTTGTATGTATGTTTTTTGTCATTTGACTGGTATTGTGATGCTGTGAAAAGCATTAAGCCAAGAACCGCTGCCTTCATATGTTTTTGTTTAAAAAAAATGTGTTCATGCATTTCATTTGTATTTCACAAAGTTGTTATTTGTTTTGACTTTCCATCTTTCTGTTATTTTGAGGAAAAACATTGTTTATTTTTATATTATTTTTAAGTTATCTGAACAAATAATTTTGAAATAAAGTTGTTTGTTGTATAGTTAAAACAAAATTGTGCCACATGGCTGTAATGAATACTAGTAGAAAATGTGCATGCAGCGCGGCCACAGGAAATGGATGGTTCTCCTATTTTGTGTTTGGATTTTCATTTTTCTTTCTTTCTTTCTCCATTTTCTCTGATTTCAGATTTCTTTTTAAAAGTTGCCACCTATGACTTTGCCACATAGCTGAACTGTGTTTACTGGTGGGAAGGGGGGGGGGGGAGAATCAGAAGCATAAATTAAAAAAATAAATAAATGAAATTCACTTCTGATGTTTTAATTGCAGTGTTGGCCACATTAACTTCCTTGGATGCCTTAAAATTAGACGTCTTTGAACAACTTTTGTGCTGTTAACCACGGGCTTAGAACAAGTGCATCACTACTTCATTTGGATAAATTATGGTGAATAAAAGCACAAATATGGGGTGCAGTTTTTTTTCATGTGGCTATAGTTACCCGCCCTCTGTTCACTTTGATGAGGCTTGCCCCAACCCCCTATAAATGACTAGTTGTAATATCCTAGGTGACCTCGATAAACTGTACTCTTGGTCAACAGCTATGTGACTTCTTTTTGTACCTGTTTTCTGCTGCACTCTGCATAATCTGTAACTTAGCGCTGATTAACAAAGAGAAAGACTTTGTATGCATTTGGGACCACACCTAATTTTATAACCTTTTTTATTTTCAGATTTTTGTTTTGTAGAGACTCTTACAGTAAGGACTGTAATTTATAAACTGGAACGATTTCTCTAATATATTGTGCCTGTTAGTGCCAATCCTGACATAATTGTTTCCCCCCCTTTCTTTCTTGCACTAAATGCTTTCAAATGCAGCACTGCAAAATCACTTTTGCACTCTGCAGCAGAATTAAATTTCTCAGCAAAAAGGAGGGACCATTTTTAATACAAAAGTGCACATTTTTCAGGAAATGTTTATAAAAGGTTTTAAAATTGATATAAATATATCACAAATTACAAAACATGCCCATTTTTCCTGTGAGAGTCAATAAGGCTTAGCTAAGTGAAAAAGCTGAAAAGTCAAACCGAAACTGAATTGCCTCAGTTTAATTTTGTATAAGTATGATTTTGATCTTAAAAAGAAAGGTCATGCATACACGATCAGAATGTTTCTTCATAAATACAATCTGTTTTGTGTTTTAGATCAGTTAGTCAATTCACTCATATTTCCTCATCCCAAATGGGAAACTTCACTAAATGATAGATTTTACTGTTAAAGACCCTACAATAAGATTGTTTTATCTGTACATTTTTCAGATATTTAACTGTATAAAAATGTTCATTTTACACAATATTTAATTAAAGTATTTCTTGTCTGTGAATTTCATTTCTGATAATTTTTCAGGTTTAATTATTAAAATATCAGAACATAGAAGCGAGCAACAATTGGGACTGTTAAAATCATGTTCATGTTTTAAAGAAGATATTACCAGGTGTAACTAAAGGACTTGCTTACACATCGATATGTATCACTGAATGTATTACTGCTATGCTCTCTCTGAATCCTTCCAGTGAAAATTGTGATTCAGTTGACATCAAAGCTGCTATACTTTCCTTGTGATAACTATTTTGCACAATGATGATTTTACATGGTTTGATGTTGCTTTCATTCATTAACAAATATGAATGTGTCCATTCCTTGCCCTATGAAAAAGGAAGGTCAGACAAATCAAATGATTGATAATCTTGATAGAACAACCTATGCAAAGGAAACTTCATAGGATCTGATATTCTGATGGTGCAGCTGGTGACTTCTAATCTGCATATCTAGGCAAGCATGTGCTGGTAAGAGAAATATATCAACTAGCTCTTGATAAAATTCTAAGTTGCTTCCAGTTATCCTGAGCAAAAAAAAACCCCTTACAATTTTATATGTAATTCATAGGAAGCCCTAAAAGGCATAAATGGGTTTTTTTGGGGGGGGGCAGTATGGATTACAGTTTACAAAAATAGGCCATCCCTATAAAGAGGTTAATGAAGTTATGTCCCCTTTTCACTGTTTTTAAAAATCTTTTTAAAAAATTAAGATTTATGCTGATATAAACAAAGAATATGGTGTGATGGAATAGCGGTAAAAACACTTGTCTCTCACACAGAAGGCTTAAGATATTTGAATTTCAGTCTGAGACCGGCTTTTGTAGCAAAGCCGGAACTATTGGACTAAATGTGAGCGAGCATGCTTTATATACGTTCTATGTCTTGACCGTTAAAAATGGT